CTACCCAGTTCTGTACGCTGGTATGAATACGGAAAGCATAAAAAACTCACAGTAATTTTTTATGCTCATGTATGTTATTTCGACTATTTTTTAGTTCAAAGGAAAATACTTTTGCATTTTTGTTTATTGAGGTACGAAATGCCAAACATCGTCTCTTTGACAATCCAGTGACATCTTCCGAGCCTTGCAACTCATGAGTTATTACATTTGTCGCTTACCAAATACTATGCGGGTGTAGCCCTACACATGGGCTATCGACGGGCATAAGATTAGTTTACTTTATTTTCACGGAATTTTTATATCATTTTTTTAAAATCTCGTCGAAAATGAAATTAACCGTTATTTTGAACCCACTTTATCAAAAAAGGCCACTTTTATTTCGTTTCATTTTTTTGTTATTGCTGCCGATCATATAAACTTTCATTTGGCTTGATACGATTTCTACCTTTTTTTGTTGTATCTTCTCCACATGTAATCGAAATCGCTCCCACGTTCTCAGAACGGTCAAACGCAGCTTCCGCAAGTCGGCTTTGCTGCAAAGAATATACTGCTTATTTGTGTGTTTCAATACAGCGGGTAAATTCATTTTGGTTGAGAACACTCGTGCTTGGCTACATATTGTATTTTTTTAATTTTGTAATGATGGCAACTGACATTCCTTAGTCTGGTAGTTAGCGGTGGAGCGGATGTTTCATTATCCGATGTCTAAAGCCAGGGTACAAAAACGGAGAAAATGGAACGAGCTTTTCATGTAGTCAGACCGGACTCACATATCTGTTTGTACTATACACAGCTTGTAAGGCACGTACATCACCCCCGGGCCCTCGCGCTATAGGCCCGTCTCCGTTACACCCAGGGAGCATCCGGCACCGGCGCCAATCCATGATGTTTCTTGTCGCGTGCTTTTAAGTAACCACGTAATTGCCTGTTCTTTATTGTCAGCGTGTATATCAAAAATATGTAATATCACATGCCCCTCTTTAAGAAGGAAAAGCAGTTTCCAGAAAAAAAAGTAAGGAATACGGACTGAGTTTACATGCAACGAAGACCATTTTTTTACAGAACACAAACACCAATTGGCGATAAATAGTCACTCGTATTAATTAACGCTAATATATTTAGGATGCACTTGTAAAACAATATGTTGTTGTACTTTGAATAGTCCAGTTCACGAGCAATGCAATATTGGAACTTTTTCACAACGGCATCGGCTTGCTTCAGCGGAGACGATCGAGCGCGGGGGCGAGCTGAACTTTGTACCGCAGCGGTCGGAAGCAGCCGAGAAGTCCAACAGCGTGGTACGTCGATACGAACAGAACGAAAACTAGAGCCAAATCGAGGCAGCGGTGAACCCGAGACGGTGGCCCTTTTATTTGAACGAGTGTGTGCCGTTAAAAATAAAAGTTTTAGGTTTAGTCCAAGACTGATCGATATCTCTGATGCCAAGAAGCAACGATTCCCACATGCACAGAAGGTAGCGAAAGCAGTCACTAATGTCTCTGTAGACTTTTATAGCATCCTTGATCACTCGCTCCGGTGCACTGAGGTGCGCTTCGTCGTTTTCGATCATGTGCACCGGTGCGCACCGGTGCGCACCGGTGCGCACCGGTGCGCACCGGACGTCCTCGAGCAACGGAGCGCACCCTCCCGGTGCAGCTTTTCGTTGTCCCAACGCGCACCGAGAAAATCGACGGTGCGCCGGGGTGCAGCCCCATCAGGCATTGCGGCCAGGAGCGGGAATCGAGGTGATGGCGAGAAAAGCAGACGCTCCGTCCATCGAGGTGGCGACCATGCGAAAACGAACACGCCTCGCGTCTGCACTCGATGAATTCCTCAGCGTTTCTGAGAGCGAGTCGACGAACTTCTTATCACTGCCGCGATTACCGCGGCAAGGAGCGCCCGATAAGTATGAACTTCGTGGAAAGCGTTGCGAGGTGTTTCGATGACACCGAGGTACGGCCATTATGTGGTGGTTCTCTTTCTCGAACCAACAATGATGGGCAGCATATACCTGTGTAATCGTAACCCGCTTCGTGACCCCATCGACAATCACGTCCACGATATTCATTCGCGTGGGACCGCCAAATCTGCGAGTAAAAAAAAACAGGAAAAATTGACAGCAGACGGGCACCGGGCGGGGACCTACGCAAGAAAAAAACGAACAAAATGCGAGGTGACGCATGGCGGAGCTCGCCGCCGTGCACCGCCACGGCGCAGTTTGTCTTCGATGTCGCACCACTTCGTGCTGCACGACCGACGAGAGCTGTGGACTGTCCAGGTTTCAGGGCGATTCCGGTGCGATTTGATCGAATATGCTATCAGTTTCTCCACTTTGTCGCACCAAGCTTAATGCAAAGATTGTACAGCCTTCGGGCAATTACATACATCTTTTTAAAAACAAAATCGAAAGACCCACCTCTACAAGCGTGCTCGATTTCAAATGAAACCACCCAAAAATATTTTAGGGCATGGCTACGGACAATGCGGCAAAAGGCCGTGATTTTTTTTTTAGAAATCGAAGGTGGTCGAGCGAAACGTCGGGGACGTTTGACATGGAATGACCCTTTATGCTTCAAACCCTTTTTAGGCGGTCGGCAGAAATATGTTTCCCAACGTTGTGTGCTGCGATTTGCTACACTGGGGCGGCTAGGTAATCGAGGTTTGGAGTGAAAATGTCCTTACAACATTCAAAAAAGAAAAAAAAACTGTTTCGGGCAATCTATGGTGTCTGATCTGAAGGGGCAGGTGCGACTTGGTCAAAGCGCTTGCTTGTTTTAGCTACATTTAGGTTGCCGGTACCGACGTCCTATCGAAGTGTGACTCGACAGTTGCTGACGAGCAAATGCTCGTCAGCAACTGACACTTAGCTCATCCCAATTCGAATATGTGGCAAAAAAGATCATCACATAGCGACTTCTGCTTGAAATAAAAGCAGAAATTTTGTTTTAAATTCTTGAATTATCAGTTATAGCCCGGCAAATTCAGGCGAATGATTATTTTGTTCTATCCTATTTTTTACAAAGAATTGTTCACAAATTTAAAATCACTCGCCATGAGGCGCATCACGCATTATGTGCAATTTGGTCCGCAAAAATTAAACATACAAACGGTAGTAATTGATAGCAGGTGCATTCCTCGTGATTTTGGGACGCTGAAGTGTCACCGACTTACTAGAATGAAGGCTTCGATCATGAGGGAGTCTCGCACGTATCGCATCGACCGGGTAAATTAGCAGGAATTTGGTTAAAATGACCCCGGAAGCCAGCTACCGCTTCTTCCTGTGAATTATTTTGAGAGAATTTTTGTATACTGGTTTACAAAATTAAAAAAAAAATATATTCAACTCGGAACTGATAAGGGACAAGCACTCGCAGAACACATCGGAATCAACCTGTAGGATAAACGGAGTCGCTGTCATTGGATTGTTTAATACACACGCCAGTGCTTCTTGTATTTCAGTTTTCTATTCAATTTTAGAGCGCAGCTCTTTCCGGCTTGAGGGGCGTCGGCGTCGCCGTCAGCGTAACCGCGGGTCACTCCGAGGTCACGTGACCCCTCCCCCAGGGTCACGTGACCCACCAAGGTCACGTGACACCCAAGGTCACGTGACCCCCTCCCCGAGGTCACGTGACGGCCTACTCCCCCCCGAAGTCACGTGACACCCCCCCCCCCCCCCCCGAGGTCACGCGACCACCTCGGGGTGACCCCCCCGGAGTATATTTAAGAATGAGGGGAGGAGGAAAAAGAGAAGGAGGAGGAGGAGGGGTCTACCCTATCCTCAGTACCCTTCCCTCCTCCTCCTCAAGAGCTGCGCTCCAATTCGGCGTTACAGGGAGTTGTAAACGGCTTTCACTTTTTCGAGACATTCCTTTCTTAGTTTCATTTTTTTCCGACTCTTAATAAAAAAATGCACCCTATTCGCCGTGGCAGATATGGCAGTGGGATAAAACGCTGTATATTCTATTTTTCTATCCATCTTTTTGTACGGGGGTAGAGAACAGCACACCACCACCCTAGCGCTTCCACACCTCCGTGCCAAAAATGTTTGTTGGCACGACTACGCGGCCACTTGCGGTTTCAAACTTTGGTAAAATGTCCTACTACAAATATCACGTAACCAAATAAACACAACGCGTGAAACAGGCTTTGGAGCGTGTAACCCCAGCTGCACATGAAGCGTTCTGACGAGCCGAGGGATCCAAGATCTGCGCTGTCTGCCCCAGTCCGTCCTACCCATGACGTCACAAACGATGATGATGATGATAGCTAGAAAAACGTTCCTTCTAGTTTACACACGCCACTAACAGACGTATAACTATCATGATTGTTTTCTTTCGTTTTTTTTAACTTTCGGTTGTGAACTTGCTGCGACATCATTTTGTAACTTGAAATTTATCATCAAACCGTTGATTTCGTATACATTTAGCTTTTGCTAGTTGTTTCTTTCTCACCTCTTTTCGTTTTAAACTTGTTCGTTAATTCGTACTCGTGTAATTCCCCCGTTTTGCGGGCACGCAGGAAAGGCCTTCAGAACGCACGTCTTTGAAGAATCTGCGAAAAGGAATGCGAAATATATATATATATATTTTTTTTTTGAGTCACCGAGTGTTTAGAGAGAAGAGTTCGTTCTGGAGTACCTTAATGTGCCCTGAAACGGCGTACAAGTGTACGTATTTTTGCTTGTGCACATTAAGTGTCAATAGAGAGAACAAAAAGCTGGTTTCAAAGGGATGTTTGACATGATGAATTTAATTACTTATATATATATATATATGAGTAGCCACAAAAGTTCGCTGTAGAGAGAAAAAGAAAAAAGTCAACGGGCAGCGCGCATTTCAGCGAGCATGCTCCGGGGGACAGCTAGAGTCAACTATCGAGATTTCCCGAGAATCAACTCTACGCGGAATATGTCACAAAGGTGACTTCACGCGATAATATCACGTCTCTGGAACGCTTCGATTGGATGGGTTACGGCTGCACACTTCCACTCAGACATGCCTATATGAATCGACGAAGTAAGATAACGGCATTCTTGTCGCTTCGCTCTCATGAACGCTGTGTATCAAGGATAACGGGCGGCCGTATCTGTTCACTAGATACATTCTTGTCTTAGCTTTGAGTTTTTGTGGACCTTTACTCTTCTGTTGTGTGAGCAACCGTGCTAGGACCTTTAATTGACATGGCGCATATTCGAGACAAGTACACTGTACTTCTCTGCGGGGGCCCTCGTGTAGGGAAAACATGGTAAGGCCGAATTCTGCCTTCTTCTTTGGAATCTTAAGCAGAGCCAGTGCTCTTCACTCAGCTGGTGGCACAGGAAAGTAATGGGCATTCCCTATACCTTTCACTTTACTAATGACAATCCGTTCCTTCATTGCATTATGTTCGCTACTACTCAAAAGTGTACATTTTAAAAATCATTTTGAAAGCAACTTTGGTTCCATGCTTAGAGGGGCCCACTGATGACATTTGAGCATCTGCCCTATTTATGTTATTACCTCATTAGCGGTTCCGGCTACTCGGAGAACCACTAGTACTCACGAAATATTAGCACATCATATTTTGATTCGATGGGCAAAAACAGCTATGATGGTGGCACAATGGTAAAAACGTGCGAACTGTGTCGTCGCCGGTAACCATTTTGTGAATGACAGTGTCGGCAAGAGCTGCTAGAATTTTTTTTTTTGCGGGCCAAATAACGTATATCGCTTAGTAAATCCTAGTTATTCGTAAAAAAAGCGTTTGTCTTGCGCAAGGAAGAAAGAGAATAGACAAAAATATTTTTCAAATGTGCGAAAACAGTGGGTAAAAAAGAAAGTACGACACGTCCGCCTTTTAGTGGCGGAGTCGGCCAAACCAGCCGGCGCGCATGTGCACTACCGTTGCCGCGATAGCCGTCACGCGGTTTGTCCGGATGCAAAGGCGATTCGAGCATCGGGATGTTGGGCTACAGTTGAGCGTGTGTGCGAAGTCATTTCTGTGATTTGAATCTGCTGTGTACCGTGTGCTGTTCTCGCTTTTCAGTTTTGTGTCCCCGTGTTTTCGATTTAGTGTGAAAAGTCTGCGTGAAAAGTCTGCGCGGGCAGCTCTACACGCCCTCCGATAGGCTTCGTAGGATCAACGAGCCGGGAAACGCTTTCATGGGGTGCCAATGAAAGCATAAAGCTCCATGACAATCCAAAGGTACAGCAAACTAGAATTCAGGACCACCTCGTGTATGAGTTATGTATGACCATGTGCCAGTGCTATCGCGCCGGCAGCCGTTCCCGTTCGAAACAACACATGACAAGTGTAGAAGCGCTGTGCGATGAAAGCATAGTTGAAGCCCGAAATGTTCACTTGGAGCGCGCTACAAATTCGAACGCGTGAGGGTCGTAATTCGGAGATCATCTGCTCTTTTCCACGTTATACGTAAGTGAGAGAGGAAGGCTGCTGCGAAACGCGAGTGTATAAAAGCCACCGAAGCCCACTGCCGGATGCAACTGTGAACCGTTTTTATTTATTTTGCGCCGACGTTAGTGTGATTTTAGGTAGAAAATAAATGCTTATTTCCACTTGTTACCCCCAGCACTTGCTTCTTTCTTTCGGATGTATTGCGGTGTAACTCTCCCCCCCCCCCCCCCCCCCCCCCCCTCGAATCGCTGCTTTGATCACATCACCGCGCTGGACTCTGGCGAGGTGTGGCGAAGTGGAAGACATTGTTCTACGCTGGCGCGCGCGTTGGGTTCGACGACGCCGATACATAAACAGCCCAGATCCATTATTAGCACCGATGGCGTTCGAAACTTCAATTTACGGTGAGGCTAGTGGCTTTAGCAACGACGCGACGAGGCGACCATTCGTGAACGTCCTCGGCGCGGCAGCCATGAGCTCTTAACACATAGCCACTAGACCAGCCGCTTCGCTCCAACCTTCCGGTCATTGCATTTTTCCTACTTTGACACGGAAGAAAAGTGTTTGGCTTATTTTTGTAATATTATTCTGATTGTAACTCCCAAAATAATTCGATCTTTTTTTAAATATTCTTTCCTTTATGTTCCTACGTCAGATGATGCTCGTTCCAGCGCAGAATTCAAACCAGTTAGAAAATCATTAGAGGGATCCTGTAACTATGGATATATCGAGCTGATAGAAGAATGCAGTAATTTTACCTCTTAGTGCTGCCACAATGATGCAACCAGGTCTCTATGGGGCTGCTTCATCTTTTCTTGTAGCCGCTGCAGCTAAATCTCATCTCAAACGCAATATCTTTTGTTTTTAACTTGAAGCTTTTCTCCGTTTAATTCCTTAGTCAATTTTAGTATCTTTAGTGTCTACCAACATAAGTTTAACACCAAATTTATTTTTCTGGTTTTGCGTTGATTTTTAATAAATTCGCGTTAAATAAGACGAAAAGCTCAGCTTTGATGTGAGGAAAAGTAAGGAGTTGTGTCAAGAGCGTATTTTTGTTCCAAATATGTACTCCGAATAATGTACCAAAGGACTTAATGTGCCCCATATGAATTATTTTATGTTAAACGTTTTATGTTAAGTTATGCATTATTATGAAAGGTAAGAATTGAAGAAAGACAAATGTGTAGGGATGATCATAAAATAATAATAAAACAACTTTTAGACAGAGAATATTTCTAATCTGTGTTTTAAGAAAATATGAGAGTTGCATCCGAAAACGCATGATTGGTTTAGATGATAACAAAATGTCTTAGCTAATCTTATTAACAACGTTGGGAAAGAGATAACCTTCAGTGATGGTCACTAGAAAGCTACAGGGTTTATCTCAGTCAACGTTTCCTTTTCTAAAAGCGCTGCGCTGCATTGAGAAAAAAAAAGTAAGCGTTCGTTTCTCATGCTAAGTGGAATCTAGGACAGAAACTCACCGGACAAAAGGTGGCAGAGCTCGTGAGGCCGGGCCAAATCTCACCCGGATAAAGTTGTTCTGTTTTCGATATGAGCTCAAATAACACGAAAGAAAAAATTAAGCAGCGCATTCTATGAAAAAGTCTGTATGACTCTCGCAAGGTTTCATTTCTGCTAAAGAGAAGGATGTTTACTGATCAAATCTTTAAAGACGAATACAGCCTCACACAGCCTCACGAGCCGTTTAGGCATGTCTCTGTGCAGCTGATCGTCCACACTCAGCTTACTCAAGCGGTTATCAAAAAGCTTCGTTGCGATCCAAACAATCTTCACCGGAGGTTCATTTTGGCGCGCTTACAGCAAAACTGCCCTGACCAACAATTCATCCTGCTAAAGACATCCGATTCCCCTCCAGGCACTTGGATTGTCTTGTTGTTGGTCCTTTTCTTGTACCTTGGCGTTTCCTTGTGAACATTCCACACCTCCGAAAAATATTACAGCGAAGCTTTGTATAGTTATGGTTCTATGCGATTTTGTTATTCGTGCGCAGGAACAAAATTGCAAGCAAAAGCACTAAATTGTATAAAACTGTATATACGCCCCGTTACTTCGATATGCATTGTGATGAGGAAAGACGTCGAACGTGTAATAATGAAGATATATCCGAGAACAGTGGGCCTTGTCCAGCACGAGGAGGGTGACGTCACTGCTTTACATATTTAAAAGCTGCACCTTTTTTATGTGTAAAGCATTTTATATATAATAGTAATAATATTAGATTATTTTAATATTATAATAATAATATAATAGATTAGTTTACTATTATTCTTAATAATATTTGTAGATTTTACTTTAGGGAAAAGTCTCAGCAAAGTTGTAATGGAACCCATTAGTAAATATCATAGTGATAACAAAGCTGCCATCACTACCGTTTTAAAGGGATGTATTTATACTGTACACAAACATTTAGTGACGTGGTTTTGCGTTTCTCTTGGTGAATAATTTGTGGTAATGCTCTACAGCTTCGCTGGCCAACCACCTTTACAGAGTTTAATGGGTCACAATTTTTCTGTGGTCGTCGGCTCACGGTCATCCTGAGTGGTCCACTCGTTCTCCCCGCAGTAGCAGATGTAATACGATGCGGGTCACTGACGTATGGTTAGAATGGAAGTAGTTGAGAAGGTTCTCGATGTTACGGCTTATTGTAGTTTTTTTTTCTTGTTGTACCTAAGTCTCTCGGGAACAAGTCGCTCTGGGAGGAACGCCATATCATCCAATCTTCTGCACAGCTTTCTGTTGTGGTCGTCCGTATCGTACTTGTTGAGAAGACCCAACTTTCGAAGCTGTAAAATAGTCGACTGGAATGAAATAAGTTTTTTATAGCCTTGTTTGTACGTACTAGTAGTCTTGCTGCATTTTTATACTTATTGTTTTTCTGGAATTTATGATGATTTCTGACAGATTTCCTAAAAAGAGAGTTGCAGAACAAATTGTAGTACTGGCGTAGTAGTTTTAAATAAATTGTGTGCCCAATAAAGCCTACGATTACAAGAGTGCGCCTTCTTATCGCTTTCTTTGAGTTAGCGTTCAAAGGCTTTAGAACATTGAGTAAGGAGGCATGATATCAAGGCGAAAACCAATGCTTGTCTCAGAGAGCCCTCTATCATCTAATAAAACAATAAAGCGGCCTTTGGCTTATCTTTCTGTATGTGCTCTGGCATCAATGGAAGAGACAGCGTCTCGTTGTATCTTATCCAAATATTTGCTTGGCGGCTTTTAAGGCTGCGATCTCGTAATCACTTATTATCACGGCACGTTCAGGATGGTACACCTTTTCTTCAATACTGTCGAGCACTCCGAAAACGTGCCATCCCTATATGAAAGTCCGGAAGCGTACAGTTGCTCGAGGGTACAGAGAACACGAGCATGCGGTCCTGATGCTTTTAGAGCGCTGCTCTTAGACGCCCGTTTACGGATGGAGCGGCGTCGCCTTCGGCGTCACCGCGTCCGTTGCATTATGGGACGTTTTCTGGCTAAATTTAGCGGGTTAAGTTTCCCCGCTACATTTAGCGGGAAAATGACGTCACGGCTCGCGTCAATTCACCCATGAACAAATTCAGCGGCACAAGGAAAATGAGGAGGAAAGGTGGAGGACGGGTGTACCCTCCCCTTCGTACCCTCCTCTCCTCCTCCTCCTAATCCTCAAGAGCTGCGGTCTAGTTTCGCATTACAGACATTTGTAAACGTGTTTCATTTTTTATGTTGTTGTTTATTACTAATGTCTGAGGCTGCGGCCTGCCGGTAGTGCCCAAGGGTCCTTAACCTCAAGCTCCCTTATTAGGGAGTTTTAGTAGACCGTGTTTTCCGCTCCGCTAGCCCTCCGCTAC